CCCCAAAACCCCAAAACCCCAATTAGTTTAAATATGGAACATTTGGGTGGTTGCTTGATTTTCTATAAATCTAATTAAATATATCATCAATTTATTTTCTTTCTTGAGGTAGCGCCTGAGGGCGTGGAGTCCATAGTTTAATCTAAAACTGAAATACTTTAGTTCAGCTACTTATTTCTGCTCATTAGAACTGGCCTGGTAGATTTTTTAGTACTTGACTATTATAAGATTTCAAAAGATTATTCGACATTAGGCATCATTGTTAAAGTCTGCATCTTTTTGTCATAGTCATCCAAAAACACATCTTCCTCCTGCAAGTACTAAGAATAAAGAGATGAATCTAAGTCATTTTGAATCTTTTTCTTCACTAACTTCATTGGTCTAGAAGTATTTTAAGGTAAATAGGAGTCTCTGTTTTTCTCCACACTTGATTATTTTGTGTTGGCTCCATGCCTCTTATACATTGAAGTTTGAGTTTTCATACTTTACAAGTCCTCATCTTTTTAACTTGAAATTCTTGAATCAAATCTTGGCTATACTCTTCCTCCTTTTGAATATGCTGATGATACTGAATTATTAATAGTACTTTAACTTTTAATAGTATTCATCATTCTGAGAGTATCACTATTAAGGACAGTGCTATCTCTTATTAGTGAATCGAATTCCTTTGTTTGCTAAGAAATTTTCTTTCTTAATTCCAACTCTTTTTCAAAATCATTATCAATTTATTTAATGTTCTCTCTCATAATTCTTAAGTTATCTGTATGAATATAAGGCTTTAATTTTAGGAATTATTTATGCAAAGTGGTAGTCATAAAGAACATAAACTTGGCTACTATTGTGTTTCTCATTTTTCTCATCTCTCTTTCAAATTTATCCAACTTATCACTTAATAAATTGTACATGAAAAATTCTCCCTAAAAGGTTAGAATGAAAATCATAAGATTCCTTCATATTTTAATTACATGATAGTTTGGGAGCATTATCCAAAGACCAAGCCAGAGTTTTATTGGAGCAGCTGGGATGATAACTATAAACTTTTCAAATATCCAGAAGAATTTCATAAAGAGTATCGCAGTTATCCTAAAAATATATTCACTAATAAAAGAATTTACCATTTCATAATAATTCTAACTGTCTATTCATCAGTTCTTTTCATCTCCTCTTTGATTTCTTTATTAATAACTCCTTTGCTCTTCCTATCCATTTCTTTAACTTGCAGAAGAATCTTGTAAGTCTAATATCCCAGACCAATATATGTGAAGTTTCTATTCAAATAAGTTAATGAGGATAATCAGACGTCATACAATATTTGATCTACCATTTTAAATGATTAAATTGATAACAATATTCAAAGTAATTATATGAAAGACGGGGTTTTGGGGTTTTGGGGTTTTGGGG